ACACACACACTCCACAGAAGAGTCGGGAACCATTGGGATCCCTTAGACATCGCATGGCATCATAACGCTTCGCTGCTTGCCAAATGGCCGTGTGCGGATCCAGATGTACCTCGACGAGAATCCAAGCGAAATCCCGTGGGACGCCATCAGGTATCTCATTGCCGAGGCGAACTACGGGGGACGCGTCACCGAGGCTCCGGACAACCGTGTGCTTCGTTCCTACGTGAACGATTTCTTTTGCCCCAGAGCATTGGAGCCTAAGTTCTTCCTCTCGGCCCTGACCACGTACTACATCCCAGAAGATGGTTCTCTTCAGTCCTATCGCAACTATGCTAAGGACTTGCCGTTCGCAGAGGCACCAGAGGCATTTGGGGAGCATATGAACGCCGAGATATCTTCCTCCATCGCGGATACAAACACGCTTCTTTCTACGCTCATCTCCATGCAAGCCGATACGGGCGGAGGTGGCGGCGAAAGCACTAACAAGGACGAGCAGGTCATGCAGACTTGCAACTCGCTGCTGGAAAAGCTTCCGGATAATATCGACTGGGAGGATGTGCGGGATCGCAACGAGTCGGACCAATCACCGCTGAAGGTCGTCCTGCTGCAGGAGATCGAGCGCTACAACGATCTGCTCTCGAAGACCCGCGTTTCTATCAAGCAGCTCCAGAAGGGGATCCAAGGCCTCATTGTCATCAGCAAGGACCAGGAAGAGGTGATGGCGGCGCTGTTCGAGGGGCGCGTGCCGGCCTCATGGCTCATCGCGTACCCGTCGTTGAAGCCATTGAGCAGCTGGATGCCAGATTTGCTCGACCGCATCGCGCAGCTGATCTCCTGGGGCTTCGAGGGCGTGCCCAAGGCTCGCCGTCGTGATCGTCATCATTGTTTGCCCGCGTCGCTCACGCTCGCTCAAGGAACCAGTTCAATTCCGACTCGATTCCGATCCAGCTCAAGAAGCTCCGATCCGATTCCGATCGGGTTTCCCATTTCAGGTTTCCCAGCCGATGCGGTGATCTCCGATGTAGGCCCCGATTCCGAAAGATTCGATCTGATTTCGATGTCGGTCCGGATTCCAGATCCAGTGCTGGCCCCTATTGGGCCCGGCGCGGCGTAGGAAGAGGGCGTGGCGAGATGTGGGCCCCCGCTTTTGTGCCGACCACTGGGGAGGCTTCGTAGAATCCTCCGATTCCCTTCAATGTTGATATATTTCTACATTTCTCTATATATAACTATAAAAAAGTATACACATACACACATACATACATACAGACAGACAGACATACATACATATATACATATATACTCATACATACATATTACATATATGCCTGCTGTCATACAAGCATACATGCATACATAGTTTGTATATATACAAACATGTATACACCCACACGCACGTACACACATACATGCATGTATACAGGCATACATACATACATGCATGCATGCGTACATTAATGTATGCATCAGTCCGTACATGCATGCGTACAAACACACATACATATGTACACACGTACACGTATACGTACATGTACACATACATACATACATGCGTACATGCATACATGCAAACATAACAGATTCACGCATGGATACATGCACATACTTACACTTACACAATCGTACATACATGCATGTCCCTTTCGCCTGCCCTCTAGAGGACCGCCCCTCGGGACCAGAATGCGGGCCTGTCTGTCTGTCTGGGTGTACATACGTGCATGCATATACGTAAATACATACGGCTACACATATTCAAACACACACACACACACGTAGATCCAAGCACACACATAAACACACATACACACATATTTACACACATGCCTGCATGCATTCTTACATGCATGCATACATATTGACAAACACATATGCGTACATACACACATATACACATTCATATGTACATACATGCATGCATGTATGCATACATTCATTTCTACACATACATACACACCTTCACACATCCGTACACATACGTATTGATCTACCGCCTGCCCCTTAGAAGGCTTTCCCCCATCCCACCGCCTTTATGCGCCGCCGAGAGGTCATGTGGCTTGGAGGCCTCACGTACCCTACCAGCTTGCTGACGGCGCTGCTGCAGGCGTCCGCCCGCAGGAACGCGGTGTCTGTCGACACCTACTCCTTCGACTTTGTGGTGCAGACGGGGGACGAGTCCTCTATCCAGTCGGTTCCCAAGGAGGGGGCGTACATCAAAAACATGATATTGGAAGGTGCTAAATGGGACAACAACGCTCAAGCACTGACCGACGCAGATACAATGCAGCTTTACGCCCCCATGCCCATCGTGCACTTCAAGCCGGTCGTGCGCAAGAAGGCCGTCACAGAGGGCATATATGCTTGTCCGTTGTATTTGTACCCTGTCAGGACTGGCACACGTGAGCGGCCTTCCTTCATGTATTGGGTGGAGCTGAAGGCTGGCCAGTTCACGCCGGATCAGTGGACCAAGAGGGGCACTGCGTTGCTTCTCGCAATGGCTTGAGAGCTCTTGGCCAGTCTTTCTCCTACCTGCAAGCGTACTGTATTTCACGGGTCTCGTCGGCGAGTCTCCTTTCCGCATTGGCGCCCCCCATCCGCCCACTTTCTTTGACTGCACTTGCACCCTTTGCACCGACCAAACAAAAAATACTTTCAGCCGCTGGCTTGAGGGAGGCTGGCTGGACGGAAGGCGCATCGTAGGCATTTGCAGCGCCCGCTTTTTCCCCAAACCAGTGCGTGCACTAGGATTCGCACTCGTGCTGCAATGCTTTGGTTCTGCTGGACCTTCTGATTGTTGCATAGGGTCCCACCCGCTTAGGGTCCCGCCATTCATTGTTCATGCCTGCTGGGTTTGCAGATAGTCGCATCGGGTTCCGTCCGTGGGGCCTCGCCCGCAAGTGCCATTGTTTCATTGGTTTTCTGACAGGAGGCGGTCCCGCCAACGGGGGCGTTGCACAGGGTCTTGCCCCCAGGCTCCCGCCATTCGGCGCCCCTGTATTTTCTATGATTGCATGGGGTCGCACCCGCCGCCCAGGGGGTCCCGGCCTTGATCGCAGTTACCCCTTGAAAACCCTACCTGTACGGTCCCGTCCGGTCTTTCGTTGCCTTTGAGCTGCTGGACTTCCTGGTAGTTGCATAGCGCCCTGCCCACAGGGCGCGATGCTGGTTTCCTGTGCCTGTCGATCGGCGGCGAGCGAGGGGGGTGAATTTAGAAGGAGAAGGCCTTCTCAGAAGGCGGCGGGACTTCTCCGAAGCTTTCGCGCCTTCTGGGAGGTGTTCGGTAACTTCGGGGGAGGCTTCGAAGACTTCTCGGAAGGCTGGGGGACTTCCGAGCCTTCTGAGAAGACCTTCTCCTTCTCACTTCCCCCCCGGGCTCGCCGCTGAGTCGAAGCACACAGTCTTGCCCACACGACCCCACCCCGAATCGCTCCTGCCCGCCAGACTTGTTGCGGGAGCGGCAGCTGCATGCGGTAACGCCCCCCGGGCTCCTGTCCTCCCTGTTTTGCTGGGTGTTCCGGCCGCGCGAAAAGGGGGGGGGGAGGGGTGGAAGGTTTCGAAGAGGCAACCATGCTTCTTAGAAGGCGCGGGCCTTCTCTGTAGATGTAGGGCCAGCGCCTCACAGCCTCTTTCTACCCCCGTGTGCGCGCCGCCAACAGAAGAAGTCGCCCAAGAATCTGGTCATGGGGTCCCGCCTCTGGTTACCTATGCCTGCTGTGTCTCTCGCGGCAGCTGCGCATGGCCCCGCCTCCGCCCCGACGCCCGTAGGCTCTTACCCCCTGATCTTCCCCCTGGCTGCGTGGATGGTCACATCCAGGTTCACCTACACAGCCTTCCGAAACGCTCTCACAGCCAAGACCCCCTCGAGTCATGAAAAAACAAGACGGATGATGTTTCTTCAGTTTCGCCCTCTGGGGGCCCTTCCTGGGCCTCGGGACCTTCAGAACACTACAAAACCGCTCCCACGGGGTCGAGGCCTCTGGGGGTCGACGTTATGAAGAACTCATGACGTCGGAGGTCTGCGAGCGTTCTGGAGCGCTCTGGAAAGGCCCCGGCGCCCGATACGTCCTCCATCGCCGCCAGATGCCAGAGATCCCCGATTCGTCCCCGTCCGGTGTTGTCACGGTCCTAGTTTCGTCTTGCTTTTTGAGTTGCCCGATTCTTGGCAGTTGCATCGGGTGCCGCCCATGGGGTCCTGCTATTGTTTGCCCCATCGCCTGTTTGGGTCATACGCTGCGTATTCCACCGCAGACTGCCAATGGCTTTCAAGCGGTGGGGGGAGGAGGAGGAGGAGGAGGAGGAGGAGGAGGAGGAGGAGGAGGAGGAGGAGGAGGAGGGAGGAGGAGGAGGGAGGAGGAGGAGGAGGAGGGAGGAGGAGGAGGAGGAGGAGGAGGAGGAGGAGGAGGAGGGAGGAGGAGGAGGAGGAGGAGGAGGAGGAGGAGGAGAGGAGGAGGAGAGGAGGAGGAGGAGGAGGAGGAGGGAGGAGGAGGAGGAGGAGGAGGAGGAGGAGGAAGGAGGAGGAGGAGGAGGAGGAGGGGGAGGGGGACAAGCTAGGTGCGCTCGCGTCATATCTGACGTCCTACCCCTCCCTCCCATCCCTTACCATGGCGCTGATTTTCTCTATCCGCGGACGCGTGTCGTAGCGGACCTGTGGCTCCGCGCGCGCGTGCGTAGTGGGTGGTGGTGCGCTGCGTGCGTGCGTGCGTGTGTGCGTGGTTGTGGTGGTGGTGGTGGTGGTGGTGGTGGTGCTGCTGTGGTGGTGGGTGGTGGTGGTGGTGCTGGTGGTGGTGGTGGTGGTGGTGGTGGTGGTGGTGGTGGTGGTGGTGCGGCGCGGTGGTGGCGGGCGGATGGGCGCGCGAGAAAGAGGCCCGCGCTGAGGCGAGAACGCCATCCTGAACGACGGAGGCCAAACACCGATCCGAAAATGAGGCCCACGCGCGGGAGCACGATTCGGAACGATTCGGGAGCAGAAATGAGGCTGGCGCCTCAGCGAGAGCAGCATTTTGAACAAAAGACGCAGGCGAAAACCCAACTCCCGGGAATCCTGTGTGTTAAAAATAGTACGCGGGGGGGGGGTCGGCCACTCCCAGCACGCCATCAGGGGAAGAGGGAGAGTAGCATTCATATTGAGTAATTGTGGAGGGGGAGGAGGAGGAGGAGGAGGAGGAGGAGGAGGAGGAGGAGGAGGAGGAGGAGGAGGAGGAGGAGGAGGAGGATGGGGGAGGAAAGTCTGAGGAAGAGCAGTCGTGCCACGCCCTCCCTGCGCTGCCTTGCCCCGCCTCGCCTCCTGGACCGCCGAGATGGCCTCCGAGTCACACGGTGAACCCAGGACGTCCCGGCAGGGTCACAGGGCCTTCAACAGACCCCGACGAGGATCAAATCTCGGGGGCGGCAAAGAGGGGGGTGATGACTGGGGGGGGCATATCATGGCGGGGCAATGATATTTCCCCAGATTTCGTGGCGCCCCTTCTTCTTCCATGACGTCCCTGGCCCCCCCGCTGGGCCGCGCACATGCCGCCGGTCATGATTTGCACCCCCCCCTCTTGGACACCCCCCTCTTGGCCGCTCCCGATCAACAGACCCCGACGAGGATCAAATCATTGATGTCTCTGTTGGATCGCTGTCACTGGCTTCATAATGCTCGAGGCCGCGCAGTCGGGCCCCCCCGGTGCCGCCCGCATGTGCCCGAACGGGTTTCAAGACGGTTCCAGATTGCTTCAGCTGGCCGCCAGAGAGCCCCACCACAGCTCAGGATGACCCCAAGAGGCCCCTGGCACTTCGCCCATTAGGCTTTGAGAGTTCCCATAAGAGGTCCTCCAAACGACCACCAGCGTCTGCTAACAAGCCTAAAATCGACAGAGCATTTACCCTGGAGGGCATTCAAGCACCGTCATCGCGTGGCCAGGCTCGGCGGGGGGGGAGCGTTGCGACGTGGGGAAGAAGTGAGCATTCGCGAGCTAAATCACATCCGCTTGTTTGACGTACAGAGAGACGGGTGCACCGCGCAACCGCGGCTAAACCGCCTACAAGCAGAGGGCTGGTGGGAATCCATGAGAATGAGTCATACCCTCGGCGACAATCGCATTTCAAGACGCACCACGTGTGTTCGACATGCTGAGCTGTACGTGTTTGTATACGTATACTTCGGCGCATGCGTGCATGCACACACACGCACACACACGCGGTACCAGCGCATTGAGACCAAAGAGCGGAGGATTGACCATTGTTTGGGGCCCACTCGCTGTCATCACTCGTGATATTTTTTCAGCCGCCGACTTGAGGGAGGCGGACTGACTGGGCGCAAACGCCGCCCTCCTCCCTGCCCTCACCCTTCCGATCTCCTTCAGCGGCAGGCGTCCAAGGAAGGCATCGTTAGTGCCTTGTCCTCGCCTGCTGATCTGAGAGAGTCGGGCTGTGCTGCAGTCCAGGCGACGGGGGAGACCCCTGTCTTCCAACCGACCGATGGACAAGCAGCAGCGCCCACGGTGCTCGAGAGATCGGAAAAGACTGTCCATCGACCGCCCCTTCAACGTCGCTCTCCCGGGGCAGGCACCGCCCTCGCGTCGCGGAAACATGGGCAGTCCCCGGGCGAGTGCTTCCGGCTCGCCGCTCCTGCCAGCCGTGCCGGGCGGGGCTGGGATAGGGATGCATCGTCCTAGAGCGTTTTGGAGCACCCTGGAACGGCCGCGGCGCCCGATTCATCCTGCATGATCCTTGGATCGCAGAGATCCCCGCTTTGTCCTGGTCCATGTCCCTGTCCTGGCCTCGTCTTACCGCGTGTCGCTTCCCACCGTGGCTGCGTGGGCGCGTGGGCACCAGGAGGAAGCGAGTGCAGTGGAAACCCGTGCCAAGGAACATCCTGCTTGCCTCCAAGGTGCCCTGGGCGTCTTGGGTTTCGATAGTTTTGCGACGGAAGGCGCGTCGTTCCCACACCAAAAACCAATAGACGTCCTGGGGTTTCGGGGTTGGGTTTCTTGCGGAAGCTTTCTTGTGGTCGAGCTCCTCATGTAGTCCAGCCGCCAAGCGCACCTTGCGAGTCGGTCCCCTTGGGCACGGTCTGTGCCACCTTTTTCCGGGCACAGGTGGCCGACGGCGACGTGAGCCCCAGGGCGGCCCAGCTCGGCGCCCTGGCCGACGGTCTTCGGAAGCCCGGCGCTGGTTCAGTGGTGGCGCAGCCGCCTGCAGGCACGGCCAGGCGGCTTCGGGGACGCGGTTGTGGGGAAACGGAAGACCAGAGCACAGTCCCAGCCAGGCTGAAGTCGGGCCAGTCCCTCGACAGGGGGAAGATTCAAAAATAGGCCACAAATAGTCTGGGGACTGCTTTTGTAGTATTTTTGCTCGGCATCCTTTGAGCCTTCCTTGAATATTTTTAGATTGTTTCGCCCACAATCCCCCTTTAGGGGGACAGGCCCGCCTAAAGCCAGGTACGGGTGACTCTTCCCAGGGTCGTGCCCCCTGGGGACACCAGTCGAGGGGACCTGCCAGGGGGATACGCACAAGGTTTCT